ATCGCATTTAGAAAAAGTCGTCGCTTTCTTTACGGAGCTGGACTGCTCCATACGTTGGAATCCATGTTTCCCCACATAATCTTTCGAGGATGTTTGCCTTCCTATCAGAATTTGCAAACACCGTTTTCAAGAGCCTTTTGTGGTCTACTTGAATATGAAATGTGCAATTAGAAGAAAAAATAGACATAGGCAACCTTTTCTGAGGGAATAGTCAGCCTACAAAACCTCGTTTTCCTACCACCTTCTTGTTTTCATGAGCTGTTCGTGCGACTATGAGAAATGCATTTTCCAGAAGTGACGGAATCGGAGCGAGATACATTTTATCTGACAATGCTGGCATCAATCGAAGTCGGCCATCACAAGGGTAACGACGTTCTCGTCCAAGCAATGAACAAGGTATAACAATTTTATAATTGGAATTCATTTGTTGAAACTTCTGCTATGCATGCATAAAACTCTCGGGCCGCTGCCATGTGTTTAAGTGGGTGAAAAAAAATCGTCAATCGCAAGTTAGTGGTAGATATCCTACCCGTAAAAAAATTCAAAGAAAGTGCGGATAGCCCATTACCTGGGGTGTTCATTCTGGTTGCTGGTTTGACGACCCTCCTTCCAGAAAAAAACGTCAGGGTAGGGTAATCTCTTAAAGATCAAGTACCAATGGCTGGATTATGGCGCTCTCTCTCTCTCCGTTCAAGCAACGAAATAGCACTATCTCTTGCGGACTACCAACGTATGACGTGACCGGTGCCTGGAGGTGGATTCTCAGCACTGCTAAGGACAATTTACCTTACTTCTGCGGCATTCTGGGCATTCTGCTATAGCACTCGCTAGCGTTCTTTTTATCCAACTCACCCTATATGCACGACTAAGCCATCGTGCACACTATATGTGGAGAGGTTCTCAAGTTTCGCACGTTATTGTTAGTATAAGAGAAGACTTCTTCAAGGCACTGTTGTCCCCTTACGGCTCCGAACTTCAGAATACAGGCCAGAATATGATCTTAATTCCTTATTTAAGGTAGATTTGCCCAAAAATTGTACGAGGGTATCTGCCCCCAAATACAGATGTGATAGCCGCTTGAAATGAAAGTACTGGCGTCCGCGCTATGCGCGCCTGCAGAATATGTAGTTTTGTCGTCGACGCTAATAGCGCACTTACTAGGCATTTGCCCGCTAAGCCAGGGTGGTGTTTATGTTTAGAAGGCAAAAGTACGGCTGCGCACAGATTTTTAACCAATTGTTCGGAGGTTTTCGGTGCCCGTGCCTCCAGCGCAAGCTTAGGCCAACCCTAGCCAAGCAGGCGTTGCCCGATATTGTCGGAAGCCAAACGAACTGCGGGGGAGAGTCCAGCCAAGCCTACCCGCGGGTGATCATAATTTGGTAGTTTTTTCTTGAACAATGAAGAGCAAAAGCGCATAATGCCCATTTCGGAAGAGCGTGCTACCGACTCTTGCTAGAGCGTTCATTTTTGCTGATGCCGAATAAAAGTAGATCTTCTTTTTTTCTGCAATAGATCAGATTGCGATGCTTATGCTAGGCTAATGGCTTTCACTGGACGTTCACAAAGAGTCGTCTGGGATGGTTTAGAAACAGTTGGGTGCTTGGCCCGAAATACTTATCTTCACTGCATTAGCGCCCAGTTTCAAACCGCGCTGCTATTTTGTTTTTGATGCATGTCCATCGTTCATTTTCCGCTCACTCTCAATAGATTTGAACACTTTCTCCACTATGAAAAATCGCGTAATAATAATCAAAAAACGAAATCGTAGCAGGAGCTTGGAGGTTCCGAAGAGAATCAATAGCAAACGTGCTCTCTCATTTTCCCCCTAAATTCCTTCTGGATTTAGGTGTTGTCAATGTACAAAAATCACGAAGAAATTATCGTACCGCAAACGGTGCTCATGGAAGTTTCATTTCGCGGGATTCATGTCATCGACAAACGGAGGAAGAACGTGAGTCTCCCTCCGCGGAAAAACTCCTATTCTAACTCATTTTGCTTCAGTTCTTCCAATGTCCGACATTCGACTTCTTCTACAGCCTTCAAAATATTTCATTTTGTGGAGCTCATCCGAAACAGCTCAAGTATGTTTGATTGGTGTCCATCAAGTGTAATTGTCTTGCTTAATACAATGTTCTTTTAGATACTTTGGATTCATAACGAAACATCCGTTGCTACCACGATTCGCCTGTCATGTATTCCTCTCCAGCAGTTCTACACAGCCTATTGTTGAATCGATAGGGTGAGTCTTCCAGCTTGTTCCCCCATAAGCCCATAAGCCTCGAATGGGAATGGTGGTTACACGCGCAAACAATTTAGCTCGTAGAGCGATTTGGCCTGGTTGGGCGCATCTCTCACTTTGACGCAGCGTAAACAATAGCATCTTGGGGATGCGTTGGTCATTCAACTTCGCCTCAGAGTCATAGTGGATAATGGAATGCGCACTCGACCAACATTAATAACTACGAGTTTAGACAATGTACAAACTCGTGTTCTTTTCCCACAAATCCGTCCCAACAGCTGCTATGTTACCAAGTAGGGCCA